CCTGATTTTAAGGCTGGTGTGATGGCTTTGGCTAACCTTCTTCAGATTCAGCGTCATGATGATTATCTGGTAATGCTTAAGGTGAGCTTCATATTTTTGAGTCTTAACAAGAACTGTGTATAGAGAAAAATCTTTAAAATATTGATGTCTAAAATTAGAGTATTAACTATATGCCTACCATTTGTGTTGAATCATTTCAAAGGTAATCTCCAACCATTCCAGTAAGCGTAGATGTAAGTAATAATGTCTAAAAAAAAAAAAAAAAAAGATGGGCTGGGTAGGTGGTTCAGTGGTAGAGCACTTGCCTTGCATGCATGAGGCCCTGGGTTCGATTCCTCAGCACCACATAAGACAAAAAGAATAAAAAAAAAGCCAGAAGTGGCGCTGTGGCTCAAGTGGTAGAGCGCTAGCCTTGAGCTGAAGAGCTGAGGGACAGCGCCCAGGCCCAGAGTTCAGGCCCCACGACCAGACCCCCCCCCAAAAAAAAACGAAAAGCACATGAAGATACTGAGACTTTAGAGGGGGGGATGCAGGAAATGAATCTAGGTACTCTGACCTTACAGTCTGTCTTATTTTGTACATTACCTTACCTCAATTCCATCAATCCTCACTAACACATACCTAAATCTCTTTAGGAAATGAATGCTTCTGTCTTGAGTACCCCTTCCTAAATGCATTACTTGACTTTGGGAAAGCTCTCTTAGTTCTGGAAGATAGAAAAATAGGAATAAGAAAAGGTATTCCTAGTATTTCTCCAAGTACAGTGGTAGAGCAAGATGGGGAATACTTAAAAACTAGCTTGGAAGTTATCCTAGAAATTATTGATTTTATAAGAGAGTAAAGCTTTTGTCTAGACCTTTGCATGAAAATTACTGTAAACTACTTCACAATAAATTAGCTATAATTTCACTCTATCCAGAAGAGATTAAAGTATAACTTATGCTACATTTTAGAATTCTCTGTGTTAAATGGCAGTTCTAACAAGGGAAATACTATTCTATTCTTGGCTCATTACAGTTCTCTATACTGAATCTGAATGTTAACTTGGATCTTCTCGGCCCAGATTGGATGCCAAAAGACAAAAAGTTGTTTTTATTTGAAATACTGCTATTTCAGAGACTTATTCTTTATTCAAATAAGTATGTAAATTTCCTTGGAATAGTTATACAATGGTCCTGTTAGATTAGTCATAAACTAAATGAGAGGAGGAACAAATAAATGCATAGCATATTTGGAATGCTTTTCTTAGACATCAAAAAATGAGTAGGAAAAAGTGTCAGCTCTAACAAAAAGCTTTATAACATTCTAATGCTAGATACAATTTTGTCCCCTTTTGGGTTCCTTAGGCAATTCGCATTTTGGTTCAGGAGCGCCTAACACAGGATGCAGTTGCTAAAGCAAATCAAACAAAAGAGGTATGTATGTTATAAATGCATTACTTCAATGAAGTGACCTCTGGTGTTGCCATGATTTTAAACTTCATGAGAATCTGCCTAAGAACCACCTGTTCAAACAACCCAGTTATCATAACTTACTTAATCAGATCTAGGTAAGCAAGTTGACTGTCCAGTCAGCAGGGGAGGGGTCATTTGAATATACATGAACTTCATGTTTATCTCATGTTGTCTTATGGAAGCTACCAACAGCTCATTCATAGTGTACAAAGTTGAAATTTATTTTATAAAGAATTTACTCTTGTAAAATTTGGACTATTCTCACAGTGAAAATGGACACACTTCATTACTAGTTTTTTTAAATCTAAATCTTGTCCTTACTCATTTGATTTTTAAGAGAAAATCATCTTGTTTTGTTCAGGACACCTTGATCCACCTTTCCTTTAAATAGACTAGTGGGGCTGGGAAGGTGGCTAGGTGGTAGAGTGCTTGCCTTGCATGCTTGAGGCCCTGGGTTTGATTCCTCAGCACCACATAAGCACAAAGAAAAAGAAAAAAAAGCCAGAAGTGGCACTGTGGCTCAAGTGGTAGAGCGCTAGTCTTGAGCTGAAGAGCTGAGGGACAGCGCCCAGGCCGAGTTCAGGCCCCATGACCAACCTCCCCCCCCCCACATCCCCCATATAAAGACTAGTGGAATATTTTGATTTGATTGAAGGACTGGGCTGTGGCTGAACTGGTAGAGCACCTGCCTAACAAACACAAGGGCCTGAGTTCAAACCCTCGTACTGCTAAAAATAAAGAATTCAAATATCCCTAAAGCCTCATTGACCGTAAGAATACAGTGTCAACAGGGATTAGCAAGCAGCTGCTGCAGGTATCTAATAATGACCCCTTTTCTGTGTAGATGTATCAGTGAATGCCTTCTGCACAATTGCCATTCTTGATTATTTTTGTTCCCTTTCCCTCAGGTCCTCCAGTGTCTTTTGTCCTGTGACCTCTTTAATGAGTACAGCAGTGTTATAAGGTTACTAATGCCACATGGTGTAGTCCCCTCTGACAGTCACCCAATTTTCTTCTGAAGGTTCTTAATTATGTATGAATCAGCCCTGGAAAATGAAATAAAGAGCAGCCTAATTCACTCACAGTATAGAACAGATGGTAGATTGTTCTGGCATAATAAGCTGATGTGGTTCTTTCAGCAAAATTATGTCTTAGTTTGAAATGCAATACAAAAAGAGGCATAGCCAAATCCCTTTGCTCTTGTTTGCTGTTATTTCCAGTGCTCTAAATCTTCATTTCAGTGCCATCTTTAAAACATACCAGCCTATAACGTAGTGATGAAACTCTTACCTTAGTGTTCTTTGTAAGCATGTGTGTGTGTGCGTGCACGTGTACACACCCCAGTTCTGGGATTGAGCTCTAGCCTGAGTGCTGTTCCTGAGGGTTTTTTTTTTTTTAATATTTTTTATTATTAAAGTGTTTCACAGAGGAGTTACCATTTCACAATTCAGGAAATGTGTAACCTAGTCCTAGGGCTTTTTTTGCTCAACGCTATTGTTCTCCCACTTGGGCCACACTCCACTTCGGGCTTTTTTGTTATTTATTAGGGATTAGAGTCATACAGACTTTGCTGCCTAGGCTGGCTTCGAACTGCAATCCTCAGATCTCAGTCTCCTGAGTAGCTAGGATTAAAGATGTGCATCACTGGATGTAACTAGTATTTGAAGCATGCAATTTTCAGGGGTAGTTCCTTAGTGGTCTGTTGGTCTCCAGTTGACATGGAGCCACTCAGTACAAATCCATCTTTATTTTGTCCACTGTATTTTCATATCCCTTGCTTTCTTAAACATTATTTAGATTAGGTGATAACTGAATAGTGACTAAAGCATTTGTATAGTGACAGTCTATAACACTGAAAGCATAAGGGTCTTTTTTTTTTTCCGTTTGTTTTTTTGGTGTGTTTAGGAGGGGTGGGGGAGTTTTGTTTTTTGGTTTTTTGCTGGTCATGGGGCTTGAGTTCAGGCCTGGTGCTACTTCTGAGTTTTGTTTATGGCTAGCACTCTTTCACTTCTGAGTTTTTGGTGGTTAATTGGAGCTGCCCATGCTGGGCACGATCTTCTATCTTGGCCTCCTGATGGCTAGGATTACAGGTGTGAGCCACGGGCATCTGGCTGGTTGGTTTTTATTAGTGTATTTTACACAGTATAATCAGTTTAGGCTGACATTATTTTTATTTGATAGTCATTGAAAAGTTTGGTGCCACCCTCGAGGTATATCTGAATATAGGTACTAACTAGCTAAATGGTTTAATTTCTCCTTACTTCCCCAGACTATTTTCAAATTAATATCTATAGATAATCTGGTAAACAAGCTATTTGAACAAAATAGCTGTGTATATGTTAGATAGGTTTGTATATTTTGCAAAACCTGTGTTCATAAATAACCTCTGCTCAGCTCTTTCCATAGCAGTAGTGACAAAGCACTGCTGGATTACATGTATAGGTTGTCTAGGGTTTAAGTTATTGGCCTGTCTAAAGGAGTAGGTGGCCTACAGAGCTTCTCAGTATATATATTTAAAGGCCACTCTCTCCTAGCTTCTTGTCATAAGAAAAACAGGCAAATTTAAATTTAAAAAATCTTGGACTGGGAAGGTGGCTCAGAGGTAGAGCGCTTGCCTTGCATGCATGAGGCCCTGGGTTCCATTCCTTAGCACCACATAAGGAGAAAAAGAAAAAAGCCGGAAGTGGCGCTGTGGCTCAAGTGGTAGAGCGCTAGCCTTAAGCTGAAGAGCTGAGGGACAGCACCAGGGCCAGAGTTCAGGCCCCATGACCGGACCACAAAAAAATAATAAAAAATCTTAGGTCCCCAACCAATGTAGCTAAAAGTTAACAGAAGACTAAGTTTAGGGTTTTTTTTTTTGGGGGGGGGTTAGTTTTCAGATAACAAAAAGTTATTATGAACTATAGTCTCATTTTGTACCCATTTTTTTTTAAGGGACTGCCTGTTGCTTTAGACAAACATATTCTTGGTTTTGACACAGGAGGTAAGTGATTTAAACTCTCGAGAGGCTTGGGAAATTGTTGATATGAGTAGATGGTCTTAAATATAAAAACCATATGTTAACACAGTGTTCTTTTCTTATGAAACAGACGCAGTTCTTAATGAAGCTGCTCAGATTCTGCGACTGCTGCATATAGAAGAGCTCAGAGAGCTACAGACAAAAATTAATGAAGCCATAGTAGCTGTTCAGGCAATTATTGCTGATCCAAAGACAGACCACAGACTAGGGAAAGTAGGAAGATGAACACGTCAAGATTTCAGCTTCTTAACCTTCTTAGTACAATTGGGAACCATGTATACTTCTGGCATGCATTTGGAAATCAGATGTCACATTTCCGAGGGAGGATCCTGGAAAATTGACTGTGTTATGTAGAGAGTCACCACCATTGCTTTGTTTCTTTTAATAAAGTTTGGGAGTGTTATCCTTTTTTCTTTTTTTTTTAAAGTATGCCTTTACATGTTTATATAACTATGTGTTTCTTCCTTTGTAGTTATGGTACATGACTATACCCAGCTTTGTCCTAGAAATAATATAGATCCTTAGACCACAGGAAAACTTAAAATATTTTATTGTAGTATCTAGGTAATTTGAGAATTGCTACATCTTTGGTATTTATAAATGTAATACTTTTAGTGGGTACTTTTGTAGAGGCACTTATGGGATGAGAAAATAAAAATGATTAATTGTAGCACCTTTTAATATAAATAGAAATGCACTGATGCAGAGGTAAAGAAAAAAAGTCATCTAACTTTGGCTGGGAATCTATAAATAAGTTGGTTCTTTCCCAGCAGTTCTGCATAATCTCTAACTACATTACATCATTGGTGATGTGCTTTCGTTTCTTGGCCAGAAAAAGAATCCATACCAAAATTCAGATTTAGAGTCCAAAACAAACTGGATCTTAAATGAATTTGAACTTTAAAATATGATATGTTTATAAAAAGTTGCTTTAATAAGCAACTATTAAAATTCATTACGTTTTTGTAAGCTTGCAAATAACCTTTGTTTAAAAAATACAGTAGTAAAGATTGAGGTATAAACTTTCACAAAATATACTTAGTCTTGTTGCACTAAAAAATGTTCATCTTATATATCTAGTAATTTCTAATGGCTAATTCCTTTTTCACTTTCTCTTCCTTTATAGTAATTTTCTTAGGGTCAGGATGCTGATTGTAAACTTCAAGTCTTCCTTTAGATTTCATAGTCATTTTCTTCCTGTGAGAGGAGAGAGCAGTGGTGAATTTTTGTAGCCAAGATGCAATACCAAGTCTTCATTTTGTCTATACCTAAGCTAGGTGGACTTTAGGTAGCATGGCCGTGGCAGCAGTGCTGGTGGCAGCATAGAATCAGTCACCATAGACAGCTCTTCCCTCCCCTGCTGGCCCGCAGACCCGCCCGACACATTCTTTTACCTGTTGGGCAGTAGGGATAAACTACAGTTATTCCGTAGAGGTGAGATCGCTGCTCTGGAAGGTACTCATCCGTGAATTCGCCACTGTGTCTATTCACTGATATCACACCATCCCTGGAAGCAGAAAGAAGAGTGAATCCAGAGTCAGTTTTTAAATCAGTTTAACCAGAGGGCTTTTGATTTATGACTTATTGTTCTTGTTCCCCTCAGATCTATTGAGTCAAAAACTTGGGATTGAACCCAGCAGTGTACATTGTAACAAGTCATCTGGCTAATGTTGGTGTCACAGGGAAGTTTTGAGAGCCATTGGTCTAAATCAATTGTTCTCAATCCTAGCTGCATTTGGAACCACACAAACTGTACTAAAGATAGACCACAAGGTGTCTGGGTCTTCTGGCACATCAGTTAAACCAAAGTTGTAGAGAATGAAGCCAAAGGACTTAGATTATGTTTTTTTAGGTCCAAGACTGGGACCTGAACTCAGTACCTCATGCTTTCATTGGATAGTGCTCTACCAACTGAGCCATGTCTCCAACCCCTGACATTTTTTTTTATTCTGTTAAAATATTTCACGTTTTCACTTGAGGGTTAAGTATTTTTGGCCTCAAAGGTATGTAGAAAAGTCCATAGTCTTCTTGGGAGGAGAGGGTTGCGGGGGGGCGGGGGTTAACTATCCAATAACTACCTTAGGGTACCACTTAAGGTAGTCCTTTCTGAAGAGCAGATTCTGATAAATATGCTTCCTTATATAGTTGATTACTAAATAGCTTTGCCAGTTTTAAAGCTCCCTGTGGGCAGTAACACCTTATTTCTGGGTGAAGTGAAAGGATGATTTCAACAGCAGTAAAACATGTAGAATGGTATCCATGAATAAGGAGCGATGAAACCATCCTCAGGACTTTACTAAAGTTACTTACTGGCTTCGGTACAAGAAGTGTGCATACCAAAGCCACTGGTCAGGTACCAGGCTCACCTTCTCCAGTCGGTGTGGTAAAAGTGATCTGCGTAGCTGATGATACTGAAGGGATAGTTGAGGTTGTTCTGGATTACACGCCTCCCAGTGCCATCAGGTAGTGTACACTCCAGTTTCTTGGTTCCTTTTAAAGCATACAAGGGGGAAATAGGAACTTTTCATGCCATAAGGGAAATAAAAATGCTTTGCCAGAAATGACAGTGGCAGAATTTTTTTCTCAAGATATCAAAGGCAGAATACGAAATGGGGCATTTTATTCCCCTTGCAGTCATAAAAACCAGCAACCCAATAATGTCCTGTTCTATTACTAGTCACTAGGTTTGCACATTCTCATTTTTTTAAATAGAAATTCAAACAATTATTTTAAGAAGAGATTACCTTTGCTAGTCTGGCTAAGTTTCTTCCAGAGATAAGCATTATAATTTGAAACCCTATCTCACAAATTGTTGAAAACAACAGTAAATAACTGCCCCAGATCTACAAGTATTCTTGTCTTAGTTACAGGAATAAACACAACTAAAAAGTTAACAATGCTATTTTCCAGTGTTAAGAAAGCAGTCTTGAAAATGTTGAAATGGCTAATGAATTCAAGGATTTCTAAGTTTCAAAATGCCTTAGGAGGAAATTTCAATTTCAGATAATTTTTATTGCAGGGTGTCTTGGAGCTTGAACTCAAACTATTCCTGAGTTTGTGCTGAAGGCTAGTGCTCTACCACCTGAGCCACAGCTGTACTTTCATCATTTTTCTGGTTAATTAGAGAAACAGTCTCACAGATTGTCCTGCCTGGGCTGGTTTTGAACCTTCTATCCTCAAATCTCAGCCTTTTGAGTAGCTAGAGTTACAGACATGGGCTACCTATGTCTGGCAATTTCAGATGTTTTTAAAAACTAAATGAGCCAGGCACCAGTGGCTAACACCTTTAACCTTAGTTACTCAGGAGGCTGAGATCTGAGGATTAAAGTTCAAAGCCAGCCCAGGCAGGAAAGTCAGGGAGACTTACATCCAATTAACAATCAGAAAGCTGGAAGTAGAGTTGTGGCTCAAAGTAGTACAGTGCTTGCTATCCTTGAGCACAAGAGCTCAGAGCACCCAAGCCCTGAGTTTAGGCCCCACAATCACCATCACCACCAAAAAAAGTAATGATAGCTGAGCTGCTGGTGGCTCACACCTCTAATCCTAGCTACTCAAGAAGCTGAGATCTGAGGATCACAGGTCAAAGCCACCCAGGGCAAGAAAGTCTATGAGACTTTCAACTAACTCCAATTAGCTACAAAAAAAAGGCAGAAACAGAGATGTGGCTCAATGTGGTAAATCACTAGCATTGAGCACAAAAGCCCAGGGACAGCACCCAATCCCTGGTCTCAGATACACACACACACACACACACACACACACACACACACTCCCTGGTCTCAGGACCAGCACACACACACACACACACAATATCCCTGGTCAGGACCAGCACACACACACACACTAATGCTTGGACAACAGGGTTGTGAAACTGGCCCATCTACATTAAAAACCTTTTTAATTAGATTCTTAAGTTCCAAAACAGCCTTTCATACAGTTCATTACAGTTCAAAACTGTAATTATGTAGCACCTTTCAGTTATTCTCATAATGAAAAGCATAGAAGAGAAATAGTCTCAGTATTAACTTGTATTCTGAAGGTACTGCAAAAAGAAGCCAACCTGCCACATCAAAGAATACCCTCAGCACCTGCAAGTATGAGTGGAAGGTTCTCATTTTGACTCCACAATAGAACAACCTGTTTGTTTACATTTGTCAAGTCAATGCTATTTTTTACTTTCTGATTTTTTTTGTTTCCTTGAAGTGAGTCTGTCTAGCCCAATCTGATCTCCAAACTCATGATCTTCCTGCCAATGTTTTGTTTAAATTAAAAGGTTTACCAAGTATGTTGGTCTGTTAAGCAATAAAAACTTAATACCAAGCCGGGCACCAGTGGCTCATGCCTATAATCCTAGCTACTCAGGACGCTGAGATCTGAGAATAGTGATTCAAAGACAACCCAGGGGGGCTGGGAAGGTGGCTCAGTGGTAAAGCGCTTGCCTTGCATGCATGAGGCCCTGGGTTCGATTCCTCAGCTCCACATAAGCAAAAAGAAAAAAGCCAGAAGTGGCGCTGTAGCTCAAGTGGTAGAGCACTAGCCTTGAGCTGAAGAGCTGAGGGACAGTGCCCAGGCCCAGAGTTCAGGCCCCACGACCGGACCAAAAAAAAAAAAGACAACCCAGGCAGGAAAGGGCAAGAAAGTTCCTCAGACTCTTATCTCCAATTAACCACCAGAAAACAGGAAGTGGCACTGTGGCTCAAGTGGTAGAGTACTTGCCTTGAGCTGAAGCGCTCAGGTATAGTGCCCAGGACTAGGCCCACAGTTCAAGCCCCATGACTGACAAACAAAACAACAACTTAATACCAAATTCAGCCATCCCTGCCCCTATCCAACCCACACCAAAAAGAAAAGTCATTGTAACTATTAAATGTTCTTCAAATGTTTAGCGATAGCACAGACTGTGTGATACTGTGATCTGGTTACATATTCTATTAGTGTTACCTGCATCTGCCCAGCAGAGGAGTTTGGAGAAAGGGTCAAAGGTTAATCCATTGGGTAATCCAATGTCTTTATTGACCAAGATTCTTCGGTTTTCTCCATCTAAAGAAGATGTTTCAATTTTAGGAGCTTCTCTGTTCCAGTCTGTCCAGTATAAGTTGCTGTAGATAAAATTTTTAAAAGATTGTAAAAGAATAGTTGTATAGGAACTAAGGCTGTAGCTGAATTGGAGAGCTACTGCCTAACAGTACAAAGCCCCTGGATTCAATCCCAAACATCATTAAGGGGAAAAATAATAGCGTGCAACTTGTAGTAAGCAGTATCCAAGATAGCCACTGTTAATTACCTTCTGGTACTCAGAGCCTGAAGCAATCCCCTGGAGTTTGGGCTAGATTTAGTGCCATGCTTACAGTGAATACCAGAATGGAAGAAGTGAGAGAATACCACTTCCAATGTTAAGATTTCAAAAACTGCCTTCTGTCTTGAGTGCCATCTTAGGCTCCCGCTGAGGGAAGGTAGATGCCAGGCTGTAAGCTGCCCTGTATAGAAACCCCCTGCCCAATGGCCAGCAAGAACATACTGGGGGCCACCAGAAGCACACAGGAAGCTGGGTGCCCGTAGTCCTAGCTACTCAGGGGGCTGAGATTTGAGGATCACAGTTTGAAGGCTGAGGAGGAAAGCCCATGAGACTCACTGCTAATGAACCACCACAAAAAACTGGAAGTGGCCCTGTAGCTCAAAGTGGTAGAGCACTAGGATTGAACAGAAAAGCTCAAGGTCAACTCTCAACGCCTTGAGTTCAATCCCCATGACTGATTCCCCACCCCCCTCAAAAAAAAAAAAAAAAAAAAGCTCACAGGAGTATGCTTAGCAGTGGTCCTATCAGTTAAGCCTTAAGATCACTGAAGCTTCGTCAGTATCTTTGTTGCAGACTTTTGAGACACTGCCAGAGATACTCAGTTAAAGTCTCACCCAGATTCCTGACTCACAGACACTGCTACAATAAATGTTGTCTTAAGCTGCAGTGTTTGTGGGCAATTAGTTACACACCATAGGCAACTAGTACACAGCCATGTGCTGCTTTTGTCTGCATCCTAAATTTTTCTGACAATTACAATTCTGTAGAAGTCACTAACACTCTGACATCCTTACCAAATGAAACTGTCCTAGAAACTCTTAATTTGCTGATTTGATTGGATTGGATCTTGAGCTTAGGGCCCAAAGAAATAGAATACTTGTTAGGAATTGCTAAGCAATAGAAACTACAGAGCCTATAGCAATTTAAACCAGGGATTACTGTGTGGAACTTTCTAGAGGAAAATCTCAGTTAACTGATAGCTGGCTCCCAGCTAAAGACACTGAGACATTGTACACGGCACCTTGTGTTGCCTTGTTAAATATACAAAGTAGTTAATGGGTGATGTCTAAAAAACAATTATCTTGTTAATTGGAAATACTCTTTTTTTTTTTTGGTCGGTCATGGGGCTTGAACTCTGGGCTTGGGCATTGTCTCTGTGCTCTTTAGCTCAAGGCAAGTGCTCTACTGCTTAAGCCACAGCATCACTTCTGGTTTTTTAGTGGTTTATTAGAGATAAGAGTTTCATGGACTGTTCTGCCCAGGCTGGCTTTGAATCATGATCCTCAGATCTCAGCCTCCTTAGTAGCTAGGATTACAGGCGTGAGCCACCAGCGCCCAGCCCAAATATTCTTATCTGTTGTATTTCCTTCCAAATACAATGAGAAATAGACTTTGCCATTGCCTACAACAGTGCCTGATACTTAGGACATCCTCAGTAAATATTTGTTAATGAGTGCATTTGAGTTTTTTCTCTCCTAACCCTTCCCAGAGTCTATTAAAAACTGAAGCTTTCAATGAGGATCTGTTAAGTATCAGAATTAGGGAAGCCCAGCTGACCCTCGGATTGGATCCACAGTGATGGCACGGGGGTTCACAAGATCTGTGTGGAAGAGGACCTTGCGCTGGGAGCCATCCAGCTGGGCCCTCTCTATCTTATCCAGGCCACTGTCTGTCCAGTACATTGTCCTACGGAAATGATCAATGGCAAGTCCTTCAGGGCTAATCAGACCTGCAAAAACAAAAGCAAAGGCAGGATTGGAACATTTGTGAAGCATGAGGGATGTGAAAACCTGCTGTATTTGAAAAGCTTACATGCACAAAACATGAGAGTTTCTAAAATCCCAAAGCCAAGTCAGTTTAAGAAGTGATCCTTTTGTCACTTTCTCCATCATCTCTAGCTTGGGGTGTGTGTGTGTGTGTGTGTGTGTGTGTGTGTGTGTGTGTGTAGAGAGAGAGAGAGACTTGGTGTGTGTGTGTGTATGTGACTCGTACCCTGCCACCAAGTCACACCTCCACATCCAGCGTTTTTGTGGTTAACTATAGGTAAGAATGTCACAGATTTCTCTGTTCAGACTGGCTTTGAGCCTTGATCCTCAGATCTCAGCCTCCTGAGTAGCTAGGATTACAAGCATCAGGCACCAGTGCCACATACAGTTTCTTGCATACTATCCTGATAGTACCTGACATCCATAGTGCTGGTGGCAGGTTGCATAAACTGTCACTCCCTGATACTTCCTGTGAGCTATATCTTTTGGGAAGGGATCATCTCCTGAGTGTCACCTCTTATCAACTTTTCACTCATGACACATGAAGGCGTTTGCTAATGGCCCAGAACTTAACCTCCCATTTCATGAAAACAAAGAAGAGACCGACACAACAGTAAGTGACTTAGTACCATGAAGTGAAATGAGTGAAGTTGCTGACCTGAATTAACAATAGTCTCAGGCTCTGCTCCCGGTTCCAAGCTCACACGGCTGATGGTCCGTCCAGCGACATCTGTCCAGTAGACCATCCTCTCCCGGCAGTCATAGTCAAGTCCCACAACTATGGACCCCTTCATGGGCCAAATCATAAGATTAGCAGAATTAAAATGCTTGAACTCTTATCCCCAAGTTCATGTTTGTGCATAGCTACAGTAAGCAACCCTGCATGGAGGTCTTGCAAGCAAGAGAGCAGACTAGTTGGACATGTGGGCAGTGGAGACCTCCCTAGGGTCATTGCAGTGCTTAGCCACTTAGTAACTCTATGACTCTACCATCAACGTGTGTGCCAACAAGTCCTCCCATCCTACCTACTTCACGTGGCTGCTACAAGAATTAATACCAGGCCAAGCACTGATGGCTCATACCTGTCATCCTAGCTACTCAGGAAGCTAAAGTCTGAGGATTGTAGTTCAAAATCAACCCAGGCAGACAAACCTAAAAGACTCTTATCTCCAATGAACTAGTGAAAAGCCAGAAGTGGAACTGTTACTCAAAATATTAAAGAGCCAGCCTTAAGTGAAAAAGCTTAGGGAATATTGCTCAGGCCGTGAGTTCAAGTCATAGGACCAGCAAAAAAATAAAAATCAATGTCATCAGTGCTTACCAAATGTCCTACTCAGTAATTGCTATACAGTGAGCCCCTCAAGTGCCATTATCCTTGGAAGTATAAACAATAATTTCATAAAAGAACTCAGCCCTCCTCCCCTCTCAGGGATGAGAGGAATCTCAGTCCTTAATATTGAATTAAAACTAAATCCTTTCAAATGTTACTGGCATTTTTTTGAAAGAGCCTTTCTAAAATCTGCCGACATATGCCAACAAAATCTCTTCTCCCCTCCCCGGTAAACAAGCTGAGATCCTTTTCCCACTTGAGGTGTAGTTATTCATTCCTAACCCCATATAAAGCAAATCATTCAGCTGTACTCTATTAAAAGAAAGTGTAGTTTAATGGGTTAAGGAACTGGGAAATTGCAGTCACCAAACCTTTGGCTAGTGGGTTGTCCTCCCCCTCATTATTACTAAATGACAGTCTTTTTTCAAAATGCCAAATCGGTGACATTCCTGATCTCCACACAGGACTTGCTTCATAAAGTTCCTAACCCAGATTCCTGTTCCAAGACAACCAGAAGATGTACAAAGCCAACTTCTAGAGGCCATCTGGCTGTCCCTGAGGTCAATTCAGTTCTCTCTTGCTTAACAAGCCTCCTGGGGCTTGGGTTGACTTAGCCTTTGAGACAGCACAAGAGACTTACTAACACCGTTTGGTTCCTGCAGAAAAGCTAGCAGTTTACATGGGGATACCTAAGGTGAATGATACTTTTACTTTAAAATTAAAAGGCCATTTGGGCTGGGCATGGTGGCTCATGCCTGAAATCCCAGCTACACAGAGAGCAGAGGGAAGAAAGCTGAGATGGGAGAATCAAGGTTCAAGGCCAGCCAGGCAAAGTTAGCCAGATCTTCTCTCTAAAGTCAAGCCAGGTTTGGTGGTGCACAGATCTTAGCAATCTCAGCTAATCAAGAGGAGAAGTAGGAGAATCAAGATCTGAATCTGATACCAAGCAGAAGCAAAAGTTCGTACCTGAAAAATTAACTAAGAAAAATAAACTAAAGCTTGGAGACAGGCTCAAATAGTAGAGTATCTGCTAGCAAGCATGAGGCTCTGAGTTCAAATTCAATGATGAAAGAGAGAAACAGAGAAAAGGGGAAGGAAGGGAAGGAGAAATAGGAGGGGAAGGAAAAATGAAAGAAAGAGCTGTCTTGGGCAAAAGTACACATTTATAAAGGCTTCTATGAACCCGAGGAATCATGGAACCCAGTTTGCTGGGTGGCAGGAGCCATGAATCTTAAAGGAAGAAAAAAAAACCTATCTTTCTCTGAACATTGGCTGCTTTTAAACTTTTTTGGAACCAAATAAATAGCACTAGAGTAAATACGAATAAGAACACTAGTCCTTTTCTCTCTCATGGCTGACAAACTATCCCTGGTTCTTTTCTCTCTCATGGATGACAAACTATTCCAAGTGTCAAGTTTAGAAATAGAATCATGGCTAAGGGGCATTCCTAGTCAAGCCTGAGGCCCTGAGTTCAAACTCCAATACTGCCAAAAAAGTAAAACAGGATCAGATGTTTTCCACTGTATGTATCAATGCCTTTGGGGGGAAAAGGAGGGGGTCTTTCTTTCTTTTTGTTCTCACTTTAAAGAAAAAGGAAAAAAAAAAAACAAAAACCTCCCAAATAGGGATGCTTTGGTCAGAGCTTGGAAAGTGGCAAGTATGTCCTAGGGAAAGCTGAAATTGTCCTTTCCCAGGAGTGAGTATACTCTCTCCAATTCTTCCTTATGAAGGAGTCAGGAAGTTTAGGAAAGAGGGGTGAGGAGGGGTGTCAAGAGTCATATGACCAAACTAGGAGGGCAGAGATGCAACAGAGATGCAACAGGTTTTATCTTTCCCTCGAGCTTCTCAATACATCACAGAAACCACATGTTATAGCCACCACCTCTTAGCTGTGACTCCAGAATGCCTGGGACCTAGAAAAAACCTTGAAGACTTGGGCAAGAGCCTGTCAATATTCCCTAGAATCACCAAACAGCCTTCACATCCCATCAACTCTACATTCCCTTTCCTCATATCTGAAACACCTTGAGCCCACAGGACAGAGCACCTGGGATGGGTCAGACATGGCTCCCAGCAATGGACAGCCCCCACGTCAGTAGTGGTGGCTCCAGGCCAGTGGAGACGGGTTGCAGCCCATAGCACTACAGGAATTCCTGACTCCACATTCCTCTTTGTCCAGTGGCACAATCTGCACCAGGCCCCACCCTGCACCAGCCCACTGTGCCAAGCCCCGCCCCACATCCCGTCCCTCAGGGAACTCCACTTTACATGCAGAGACAGCAGGGTCTTGGCTGCATCCTTCTGAAGCTGGGTGCCATTGAGGGGCAAGTGGCCGATCTGCTGGCCCTGAGCATAAAGCAGGAAGGTGCCCACAGATGGAGGGGTCACATCAGGCCGTGGTGTGGGCCGGACAATAGGGGGAGCAACGGTGGGTATACCTGCCATGGAAAGAAGGAGGTATGGGGAAGGAGGGAAGAGGAAACAAGGGGAGGGTGGGGACAAAGAAGTTACTTTCTCACATGCCAAAGCCTTCAAAACTATCAAAAGTTCGGTGCTGTAAACAGATGTGCCCCAGATGTTCTTCAAAGGAAATTCTCATTTCTGGGGCTTCAAGAATCCTTTATGTAAATCACTATCCATTACAATACAACACTTCCCTCACAGAAAAACCGAGTCTTTTCTTGTCCTTGTTTTTGAGGGGATAAAATTTCTTTGGGGGGGGGGCTGGGAAGGTGGCTCAGTGATAGAGTGCTTGCCTTGAAGGCCTGAGTTTGATTCCTTAGTACCACATAAGCAGAAAAAGCCAGAAGTGGCGCTGTGGCTCAAGCGGTAGAGTGCTAGCCTTGAGCTGAAGAGCTGAGGGACAGCGTCCTGGCCCAGAGTTCAGGCCCCACAACCAACAAAAAAAAAAATTCTTTGGGGCCCCAGGGTGACACAAGGATTGGCATAAGAAGGAAAAATTATGCAACATTAAAGTAAGTTCTAGGTGTTCTCATTTCAGAAATAGCTGAGTGACCAATTCAACACAAATCCGAATGGGCATCTTGGAATCTGGAGAACCAGATTATCAATGGACAAAGCATGTTGATGAAGTGACTTCTGTCTTTAGACCGGGTGACTCACAACTCCCCCAGCAATCTCTACACAGATGCCTAGGTGCCACTGAGGTGAGTTTGGGCTATACCTGTACTTACATGCGGGGGTGGTGCCTGGCTGAGAGCGTGTGCCCTGAACCTCTCTGCCATCTTTGTCCACACACCAGCAGAAGTCACTCTTCCCATGACACTGCAAGGGGATGAAGTGACCCAGGTCATCACACTGGGGCACATACTGGTCATCCCTGGGTGTGCCACCATAGTGCTCCAGCAAGTTTTCCCTCCAGCGCTCGCAGACCGTCCGAGGCCTCTGGGTAGGCTCTAAGCAAATGAGGAAACAAAGCCTTTGATTGGCAGCTAAAACAGAACGCTGCATAAAGTTCAAGGTTCCCACACCTGACCCTCTGCCCATCCTTCTACTAGTGTCCAGTAATGGGTTCTCAGCCAAGACCCTGGATATTTGCGGGTCCAGGGAGGCAGATAAGTTCTTCAAATGTTTTCTGTGAGAGTCTGGAGAAGAGCTCAGCTTAATGTCGCCCTGACTCAGGAAGAAGTGCCACCAAGGTCTGACCACATCAGGCTGAGCCACAGCACACAGCTTGCAGAGACAGACATCTTACTCAGGTCAGCAGAGGCCCACAGTAACACTGGCCTGTGGCCAGTGCACTCTGCAGAGAGTGCTTGTGCAGACTCTCTTTGGGGACTCAGTGGCCTATGTCATACTTTAAATGAATGGTTTTTCTTTACTACTTGCTTCAAGCTTCAAGACTCTGTGTTGAGTGGGTCAGCTTGAGTTTGGGTCAGCTTGAGTTTGGCCAGAGTATTATAGAAAGCACTGCTGGAAGTTGAAAGCAATGATGCCCACCTGCCACCCTTAAGACAGGGGAAGGCACAAGTAGGAGGTTCAGGCTGATCCTGGAGAGAGTCTACTTTGGAAATAATCAGTGGAAAATGGGCTGGAGATGTGGCAGAAGTGGTAGCACACATGCCTAACAAGTGTGAGGCAATGAATTCAATCTTCAGTATTGCAAAAAAAAGAAAAAGAAAAATTGCTGAAAGCCAGTCTGTTATTTGGCCCCCCGTATCTATTCTGTTAGAAAACTACATAGGATAAAAGCAAATTCTGGGCACCAGTGGCTCATGACTGTAATCCTATTCAGGAAGCTAAGACCTGGAGGACTACCATTCAACGGGAGATCTTATCTTCAACTAACTAGCAAAAATCGAGGCTGGAGGCATGGATCAAATGGTAGAGCTCCTGCTAAGCCAACAAGCCAAGCAAGCACAGGCCCTGTGTTAAAATCATGGTACTAGTCCAAACAAACAAAAGTGAAACAATGTAATTAATGTGCAGGGCATATAGTAGCATGCAACTTAAAATGCTTCAATTTCTAGAAGTTGTTTAGCCATCCATCCCCTGTGACTTTTCAAGGCAAAACCTTTCTCTGTAGTCTCTAGACTTCTGCTACCCTGGTGTCTCCTTTCTTCTTCAGCATCCACTCTTCCTGTTATCTCCCTCAGTTTCAAGTCCTGCTGACTTGTGTTACAGAGCCATTCCATCCCCACATATCACTCTGGGACCATTAAAGCTCTGTCCTAAATGTAGATGGCTGTGTGAAAAGACTGTTGAAATAAGTTGTCAATTTATGATTGGATAAACTAAAGGGCTGTAAATAAATATAGAAGGTAATTCTGCTTCCTTCTTAATTCTACAGCTCAAAAGTTATAGCCTGTAGGACTACACAGCCAAATATCTGCTTTCATGCATAACAGAAATCTCAGCATAAAACTAGAAAGCTGGGGGGGGGGGGTGGGAAGGTGGCTCAGTGGTAGAGCGCTTAGCCTGCATGCATGAGTCCCTGGGTTCCATTCCTCAGCACCACATAAGCAGAAAAAGCCAGAAGTGGCGCTATGGCTCAAGTGGTAGAGCGATAGCCTTGAGCTGAAGAGCTGAGGGACAGTGCCCAGGCCCAGAGTTCAGGCCCCATGACCGACAAAAAACAAACAAACTAGAAAGCTGGGGCCCCTGCCTTCTCCCATCAGATTTGATCCTCTCTTAATCTTTTCACTATCAGGAAATAGCACCTCCACTTTCCCATTGCTCAGACACAACCATCCTTAACTCTTCCACATCAGACATGTCAAAAAATTCTTGTCAGTTCTACTTTCAAAAGCATTGGGCCTATCTTCACTTCTCTCCACTTCTACCTGTCATCTTGTGCTAGATTCACTGCAACCACCTTTCCATTGGTCTTCCTGCTCTTGTCCTCCTGGGCCGTACACCTCCCTCTCTCTACACCAGTGTACACTCAACCAGAAGCCAGAGCTTCTGTACATTGAAAATACAAAGGCATTTGTGTTCCTTCCACTCCATTGTTCAAACCCCCTCTAGCAACTGCCAGAAACAGCTGGAAACATTGCAATAGGGCTTCAGCAGGCCAGGTCCTCTGGGAAGATAGTGAACCCCATCCTTATAGTACTGTTGCCATTTCTAGAGCTTGAACTCAGGGCTTTGAGCTCTCACTTGGTGTTTTTACTCAAGGCTGGCAGTCTACCACTTATGTCACACCTCCACTTCCAGCTTTTTGCTGGCTAACTGGAGGTAAGAGTTTCATTATTTCTTTTTTTTTCCTGCTTGGCTGGCTTTGAACTGTTATCCCTAGATCTTAGTCCTGAGTTGCTAAGACTACAGATGGGAACCACCTGCCTCTGGCTAAGACTCCCCAGCTTTGGGGGAAAAAGTGTCCTTCAGCTTGTACTGTAGCTCTGAGTCTTCATAGAAAAAGGTAGGATTCAGACTTCCTTATCCAAGGACTGGAAGTGACGAATGCTACTTTCTCAAACACTGTCATTCACACCTCAAAGCAGGATGCCCCACAGAGGCTTCCAACACCGCCTCACCCCACATTCTGAATTCCAAAGATTCATTCTTGGTTCAAGGAAGCCCCTGGCAAGGCACATTTCTTCGTGTAGAATGCAGATAGCCAGCTGAGTGAAGTTCTGGGAAATGAGTCTCCAGTCTCTATGTGGACACACTCCTCTTCCCTGCTATTGAAAGCTACTTCTCCATCCAACCATGGCTTCTTTCTCTTCTGCTTCTAATGGGCAGGGGCTTAAATATCCTGACATCTTGGGCACATGCCTGCTCCAGCTGACCCCATTATACAGATGAGACTAGTCAGAAATGGCAGATCAAGCCAAGCTGGTGCCAAGGGAGAAGTCAAAGCCATGGGAAAGGCTACACAAAACAATGTGTCCCTATTTTACTCATTAACTTCTCAGGCTGAATCATTGTCCTTAACACATGTTTGTCTTAATAAATTTAATAGAATTCTGAACTATTCCCTAAGGGATCTCCCAACCATCTGTTGTTGTTTTTTTTTTTCTTTTTCTTTTTTCAAATCTCAGCTGGAGGAGACCTTGAGTTTTGAAAAGAGAAGCCAAGAGTGAAACAGGACTCTCTGTAAAAATCTACTTCTAAAAACAGAAACACAGAGGGACTAGACATGTTGCTATGGACCATGCCATTACCAATTTTTACCTCTATGAAGCTTAGAATCACTAAAGTCCTGGTGGGAACAATTAAGATTGCTAGAGAATTCAAACCATTGGAAATTCTCTAGCTCTGATTCCTCACATACATTAAAAACCAAGATAATATGTTTGAAACTTTCTCAGTAATAAGAATGGATTTTTTTAAATAACCAGTTCCCAGATACAGGAAACATTTAGGCAAAAGCAGCTTCAAACTAACCCTTTGTTCTTCAGAATATAGTTCTTCCAGAATAAGTATGAAGAAGAAAGTTCTACCCAATCTCTAATTCCCCAAGGAGTAGAAAGCTGTCCTGGGTACCTACTGTTGTCATTAACTGTGAGCATTTAGTAACCATGTTTCACATTAACAGAGGGAGCACAGATGATAAAGGACACATTTGTCATGAGCATCTCAGATCTAAGATCCTACAAACACTGCTGAGGCAATGAGGTTCCTCATTTCTATATTGACTAGAGAGGAGTGGAGTTATCAGGTTAAAGAAAATTCATAGTTCTATGCTACTGACAGGCTTCATTCACACTGCTTCCTGCATCTGAATTAAATGAGAGGGTTATATAGGAAGAGAGGCTTCCTCTGGACAAAATGCTGGTCTGGTCCCATCTTCCAGCTCTCTGAGACCACTCACAATGGCCTCAGTTAGCTAGGGAACTCAGTCTTGTCTGGTACTTGACAAGGATCTAAGCAGCTGCAGTCCCAAGTCATCCAAGCATTCTCCCAGGGACAGAGGGCAAAGGATGGTAACCAGCCAGCTCTGAGTCCACATACACTAGGCTAGGTGATAAATCTCCTACGCCATCAGTGCCATTCTGCCTCTTGCAGCTGCACCCAAGCTGGTATGTGGTTTCTCTCCTAAGAGACTCACCTGGTGGTGGGCCACAGTGAGGTGGGGTAGAGCCAGGTGGAGTCTGGGTGCCAGGGACTTCGTGGCCATTAGAGTCCACACACCAGCAGAAGCCAGTGCTGCCGTGGCATTGCAGCGGCAGGAAGTTGCCCTGGTCATCGCACTGGGGGATGTGGAGTCGAGACCCAGGGTAGGCGTGCTGTGCTTGAGCATAGCGCTGCTGCTGTTCACAGGGCTTCAGGCCTGAGGTAGAGTCTTCCAGAACCAGAGCAGAGGAGACAAAAAGGAGAATGAGAACGTGACTGTAACATGTTTACTCTAATTTGCCACCAGGAAAGTCTCCTGTGCTAAGGAATGTTTTCTACCATGGGAAAACACCATAACATGGTGGGGGGGGGGGGGGGGGTTGGGAGGAGGTTTTCACAGTCCTGAATTCTCATTTTAGATTTGCCCTTGTCTATTTAGTTTGTGTCCTTAAGTCTCTTTAAATCTCTAGATAAATGAAACTGTAAGGGCAGCTCCCTCCTCAGCCCTTAGGGGCCTACTGCTGCCTAGATAAAATGAGCAGCAACCTGTGGAAATCTGCCCAACATCCCATGAGACTTCAGATAGAAGAAGTCAAACTCCATTTGTCCCCTGAAACTTGGAGGTAAGCTCTAAGAAGGACCAGGTCAATATCAGCCATACCGCTCGGTGCTAATCTAGTCCTCTGCAATGGGTGTCTACTATTGATGCTCTAGTATGCTATTAACTGAGAAGCTAATTAGATTCTCCTCACTGTTTTATCCAAAGACTATTCACTGAAGCGGAGCAGATCATTCATGCAGTAAACCAACCAGAACTGCCTTTAAGTAGGAAGAGAGATGGGTCCCTCTCTAGGTTTTCAAGAATGTTCACTACCAGTCATGTAGTAATAAAGTAGGCAGCAGGAGTAACTAAGGGGAAAATTTAAACCTCAAAGATCTACCCAATAAAGCCTCAAACCAGGCTAACTCAAAAGCAAGCAGCAAGAGAGAAAAAAAAAAACACTGAAGGAACTGGGTGATTCATGTGCCTAATTCTCGCAGCCTTACCAGGTGAGCACTGAAATCCATCTCCATGATATCCAGGTTGGCAACGGCAGGAGAAAGACCCAGGGGTATTGTAGCAAGTAGCAGCAGAGTGACATCTGTTTTCTGCACATTCATCAACATCTGCAGAGGTCAGCAACAAGGCCAGGGAATGGGGGTGGGGAGAGCATGACTTCACAGCACAGAACCTGTAAGACTACAGTCTACAGATACAACCTGTTTGATTGACTACAGTCTCTGTACATGGGGACCAACAAGGTACCAACTACAGAAGGTCTTTGATGAGCACAGAAATGCTAAAACCTAGAAGTATGCTTATACCAGGAAAAACCAAATCTAAGAACATATGAGTTAATATATGAGACTCAGAATGTTCAGTGGAGAAATCAAACATGTGGTTACTCACAGATAAAAATATCCTGCAGAATATTTCTACAGGAGCTCTCATCTACAGTGAATTCCAGGATGTTATTACCTTTGAACTAACCTTTAGACTATAAATCATTAATTTCCTTTTGGGACGACAACAATAAAGATAAATATAGGCAACAATAGTTTTTATTCCCTGTACTGTTGGTGCTGTTTCCCTATACCATTCATGTAGAGATGCCAAGGGCCCACATGCAGCCCCAAATACTTTTTCAACTAAGTTGAAGCACACTCAGTCTTGCCTAGTAAATCAGGAAACTGTGAGACTCATCTCCAATTGACTACCAAAAATCTAGATGTGAAGCTGTGGCTCAAGTAGCAGAGCATCAACCTTGAGGGAAAAGACCAAGTGAAAATGCGAGGCTTCCTGAGTTCAAGCCCCAGAACCAGCACACACACACACACACACACACACACACACACACACACACACACACGGTTTCCTGAGTTCAAGCCCCAGAACCAGCACACACACACACACAGAGAACAAGCCTAAATTTGTCAGGCATATTAAACAATTGTAACCTCTGTGCTCTCTATATTACAACCTAAGGATTTGCATTACCCTATTTCTCAAAACTACAAATCCTCACACTTCAAACAAAAAGCAGATGCATATCCATTTTTATGTTATTTATTGCAATTGGCCCATGCTGCCAAAAGGAAATCACTCACCTCACTCCCTCACCTAAAAAAAGAAACTCTGGGAGTGGGATTGTTAAAAGTCCCCACAGATGTGATAAGCTGCCTTAATAGAGGAAGCCGTCCAGAGTTTTTAAAAAGAAAAGATAAACAAATGGTCCAATTCTGATCTAGACTTGACAAAGCAACACAAAGCATGAGTCACATCTACAATGACTAGAATTTTTCTTTTGGGGAGGGAGGATTGGTCATGGGGCTTAAACTTGGGGCTTGGGAGCTGACCCTGAGCTTTTTTGCTCAAGGCTAGTGCTCTACCACTTTGAGCCACAGCTCCACTTTTGGTTTTCTAGTGGTTAACTGAAGAAGAGAGTTTCATAGACTTTCCTGCCTGGGCTAGCTTTGAACTATGACACTCAGATCTCAACCTCCTGCATAGTTTAGGAATACAGGCATGAGCCATGAATACCCGATTTAGAATTTTTTTAATAGAAAAAATATGTAAAAAATAAAAAATAGAAAAAAGAGATAACCAGTAAGCAACCTAGAAATAGGAGTTGTGTCTAATATGGTAGCACCTAGCACAATACCTCAGCATGGGAAGCTAGAGGTTTACCACTAGAATGGATCAGGTGTAAAATGGGCCTAGAACTGGGATGGCTCCTTACCCAGCCTCTTATGATCTAGATGAAGTTCATCTAGGGTTATTTCCCTCCTTCCCATTCCTGGCTCTGGCCACACCCCCATGGAGCCACCCTCTAAGGTGCTTTCTTAGATACCACCTAACAGACAAGTAGCACACTACACAGGCATTCTCTTCCTTGACTTTGCAATTAGCAAATTAGCATGCTGCTTATCTTCTGCCTCTGGAAATCAGTGGACGTGTATATCAGCTCTTTTGTGTTCAAAAGAATCCTTAAATGCTCCACATAACTAAGCCTAATTCCATCCAGAGAAGCTCTTCCAGGGTGAGCAATTGGCTTTCCTGATCATCTACATCTCACCTAGCAAGACAGAAAGAGGGTGATACCTTATCTGCAAAGTCAGAAACAAACAAGGTGTTCTGGTTAGCTCCTTGATGACACAAAAATCAACCAGTATTGGCAACCAGTATTTTGACTGGCTGTTTCTTCAGCAGAACAGCTGAAATGCCCAGGTGGACAAAGCCGATGACAATCCTGTTCCTTGGGCCTAGAAGAGGCTATAAAAATGAGTTGTAAAACCAAAGCTGTAAAAATTACCATGCAGCCAAATGCAGGAAATTAAAGCTATTGACAAAACATATGCTTGCTAAAAGTACTCCTCACAGTAACAGGAACCCCAAGCAATGGCAGGAAGGAGGGGTTCCTGAGAGGTTTATTTCTGAGCCCAGGGAACAGTTTCTGATGATTATTTTTAAAACAAGGGAAAGGGGTTTCCCCAAAGCTACTAAGGCTTGGATGTCAGCAAAGCCCAGGGCCTAGAGATGCAGACCCAATCTCTAAGACCAGCCAATCTCCCCGGAGGAGCTCAGAGGTGCTACTACCATCAGGGCAGACACCAAGGTCATATAGATAAAAGAGACTGTTAGAAGTAACCAGAAAGACAAGAACCAGCCTGGAGAGATGAAGTTATCTCTGATCCCTAAGGCTTGAGAACTATGGCCATCACCTCCTCCTTGAAGGACCTCAGGTCATGATAGAAAATTCCAGTCCAGTCAGGAGCTCTAGGGCTTAAGCTCAGAGCCAGTGGTGGTGTCTCCTCAGAGGCACAAACACTGGGGGGTGGGGCTTGGAGGAAGCCAGGGTGTCAGCTTAAAGGAAAAAAAGGTTTCCCTATTTCACAGATGTGGAAGGACTTTCAGGCCCTTGACAAAGAAGCTTTCTTGCAGGGCACCAGTGGCTCTTGCCTGTTATCCTAGCTACCCAGGAGGCTGAGATCTGAAGACTAAGGTTTCCAAGGCAGCCCAGGCTGGACAGATTTAGATCTCTAAATAATTGTCCAAAATTTAAAAAAAAAAAAAAAAGGACTGGAAAGGTGGCTCAGAGGTAGAGCACTTGCCTCATATACATGAGGCCCTGGGTTGATTCCTTAGCACCACATAAGCAGAAAAGGCCAGAAGTGGTACTGTGGCTCAAGTGGTAGAGCGCTAGCCTTGAGCTGAAGAGCTGAGGGACAGCGCCCAGGCCTAGAGTTCAAGCCCCACGACGACCAGAAAAAAACGCAGAAGTGATGGCTCAAGTGGTAGAGTGCTAGGCCTTGAGCAAAAAAAACCTCAGGGACAGCATCTAGACCCTAAGTTCAAGCTCTAGGACTGGTGCATGCACACACACACACACACACACACACACACACACACACACAAACACACTATAAAAAAAAACTTTCTTTGTTGTGGGGGTGGGTGGGGAGGGGGAAAAACTCCAACTATACTTGGTCAGTGTCTGGGAGACAGATACCAATTCAAGGGCATTAGAGGAAGCGCAGTGCCCAACATAATTCTCCAGGCTCCAACATAATTCTCTCCTCTCTATCACTTATTAAGCTCCTAAAGAACCTGTTTGGAAAATGTGAGCTCCACTTGGAGCTCACGCTTTGATGCTATGATAGCCTTCCCTCTGAATAGAGCCATCTGGACACACTTAGAAACAGCCATTGAACTCTAGCCGCCCCCCCCCCCACTACCCATTTGCTGAATTTTCAGCCCAATGTAATTGCCTGTGGCCAATTAATCTTGATCTCCCCCATGGAACCACAGGTCCTTGCTCTCACTCTCTGTACTCTGTCTAGTCACGCACCCTGCTGGTTGTGTTCCTGTGGCCTGTGGAGTACTCCCCAGGACCTGTAAGCACTCAGCATGCCTTACCCAACATCTACAGTAGGAGTACAGAATGAGAATCTGAGAGCAGAATGTGAGTGTCTCCGCTCCTTCCACTCCTGGGCAATGACTGCTCTGGGTAACAGGCCATCTGTACCCCAGTTTCCTCAACTCATACGTGCCGCTCCCTGTGAGTGTTCCAACACGAGACAATCTGCTTTTGCACCAGAAGGACAAATGTGCCTGAGAACTAGCCAATACACGCTAGTACAGGGTTGAAATCTCTCCAGATGGAGGGAAGCTGGAGAAGATTTACGTCTATTTGGATAAAAGCCTCCGGCTAGTGACTCAAACTGGACTGAGAACCCAAATCCAAATGTAGATTTTTCAGGAAGTCATAGCTATGGCTGGAGAAAAGCCCACACCTCCTCTTATGGAGTCAAAACGTGTATGTGCTTCAAGAAGGAACACATCCCACCAAACAGGGCTTCCTCAAAGATGCCTGGCTCACTAAGACACACACTATGAAATCACACATACACACACACACACACCCCTATATAATAATACATGTATAGATATTACTTCCAGGTATAAATATCTTGGAAGGAGCCCGATGCTGGTGGCTCACACTTGTAATCCTAGCTACTATGGAGGCTGAGATCAGAGGATCACTGCTCAAACCCAGCTTGGGCAGGAAATTCTGTGAGACTCTTATCTCCAATTAACCACCAGAAAACCAGAAGTAGAGCTGTGGTTCAAAGTGGTAGAGCACTAGCCTTGAGCACAGAAAAACTCAAGGACAGTGCCCAGGCCCTGAGTTCTAGCCCCATGGCTGACAAAAAATAATAAAATAAAATAAAAATAAAAACTAAGTCCTGGAAGGTACTTTCATGATTAGCCAGATATATCAGGGTCTTTATGAAAACGACTATTCCATCTTGACTGCCCCACAATCTAAAACGCTACCTGATCCCTAACACATGACGTGTGCATGGCCTCATCTAATCCCCTTCCCTTTGTAGCTTGTTTATAACCCACACAAGAAAGCCACACACTAAGGGTTGCCACGTTTGAGATGATGACTTCATCTTGCTGGCAGGTTTGTCTTGCTGGCTTTAATAAAGCAAGCTGTCCTGTTAAGAGAGGCCCATGTGGCAAGAAATGGGAGGCTGGCAACAGCCAACAAAGGAACTGAGAGGCTCTCCATTCAGTAGTGCAGATGCCCATCGATTCCCATCGATGCCCAGGAAAGGCGCCTTCGCCATGAAGCTGTCAGGGAAGTCCATCTGCCAGACACCTTGCTACAGAGCTCAGGCTATGCCACACCCAGGCCCCTGACGCACAGGTAACCTGTGTGTCTTATTTCAAATTACTACATTTCCAGGTCATCTGCAGCCACAACTGTTAACTGGGGAAGCAAATGATGAGGTTAGCATGTTTGTGGGTTCCAGAGGAAATCCAAAAAGTAGAAGACCCAGAGATAAAAGAGGGACCACTGCAAGTGAAAGAAATGAGAGAGCAACAATAACCCCCAATAGCAATAACCTAAAACTCCAAACATGCAAAATTTCAGGATTTTAACATGATCGCAGAAGGGAACCAAAGTCTTGCAGGACAAACGGAAAGAGAAAATTATTATTATTATTTTTTTTTTTTGCTGGTCGTGGACCTGAACTCTGGGCCTAGGCACTATCCCTCAGCTGTTCAGCTCAAGGCAAGCAAGCGCTCTACTGCTTGAGCCACAGTGCCACTTCCGGCTTTTTCTGTTTATGTGGTGCTGAGGAATCGAACCCAGGGCCTTATGCATGCAAGGCAAGCACTCTACCACTGAGCCACCTTCCCAGCCCGAGAAAATGATTTTAGAAGAGATTAAAGAAACACCTAACCTAAACTAGGGTGTGGTTACTGATACTGACTACAGATAGGCTGCAATTAATTTCTAGTAGTCAAAAAATGGATAGTTAAGGAACTAAATATCTTAAAAGTATCTTTTTTGCTTTTTTTGGCCAGTACTAGGGGTTTGGAGTTCAGTCCCTGGGCACTATCCTTTAGCTTTTTCACTCAAAGCTGGTACTCTACCACTTGAGCCACAGCTCCACTTCTGACTTCTTACTGGTTAACTGGAGATAAAAGACTCATGGACTTTCCTGCCTGTGTTGGCTTCAAACCTTGATCCTCAGATCTCAGCCACCTAAGTAGCTAAGATAGCAGGTGTGAACTACTGGTGCCTAGCTAAAAGTATCATGTTCACAAGCTACCAGATGTTTATTATGCAACCTCATTATGGAAAAGAGTTTTGCTCTCCAGGAATTCTGCATTCTTACAGCTGAGAGTGGATAAAATCAGACTGAATAAGGGCACCAGAGTATAAAAGGCATTATTCCCATATTATTCTCTTCCTGACCCTCACACATATACAAGGTATTCCCCACCTATAATAAATATAGCCATTCCAGATGGTGGGAGGGGGGACTGGGTGCACTAGAGATACAATGTGTACCTTAAGTTTCAACACCTCCTCTCTGAAATTTCTTCCAGACTTCACACAATGAAGTTTAGCACATAAAAGCACTCAACTAGAATGCAAAAATATGTCAGAAATAATGTGAGGCTGTTGGGACTAGACATAACTCTTTCTGTATAAATGTTCATGAAACTAGACCAGTAGTGCCTTAATAGAGAGGCTATTCAGTAGAGCAACATGAACACGAGTGGACAATCAGATGGAAACTCAGCTTCATGTCAGTGACACATGAACACGAGTGGATAATCAGAAGGAAACTCAGCTTCATGTCAGTGACACACAGTTATGGTGAAGTGAGGGGGAGGAAGAGGATGGTTGAGAAAGCAGTGAAGCTGGGAAAGGAGAACAAAAACCTAAAAGGAAAATTCCCCCCTTTTCTTAGAATTGCTGTTTCCATCTGCCACCATTCACAGGGGCCTACTCAGCTCACATGCTCACTCTTGGGAGCTTAAAAAAAAATTATAGTTATACAAAGGGGTTTCAATTCAATAAGCCATAATATGAGCACAAAGTATCTTGATCACTGTCTCCCCTTCCATCGCTTTCCCTCATCTCTCCCTCTCCATATACTCAAATTCCACAGTTCCACTTTTACATAAGGTACATTGACTATATCATGGTTTCATTTGCCCACTCCTTCTCTCTCCATTTGCGTGCCCCTCCTCCTTACCCTCCCTGTCCCCCAACAAAACAGGCTCATCTTCCTGGCTCCCAGGAGCTACTAAGCAGATCAAGATAGCATGGCCCCCTCCTCCTCACCAGATGTTTAATGGACAGGCCTACTTAGAACAGACAGTGAGTCCCACCAGCCTACCCTAGCTCCAAGGAACAGAAGGCCACAAGCTGGCAGTGGTCACCCACACCAGGAATCTCTTCTCCCAGGATGACCACATGCACTAGCTGATCCAGGCCCACAGAAATCACCCTGGGCCTCCCTCCCTTCTGATTCTACAGAGCTCTTTTCTCTTTTGCCAATTCCAAGGCTACCTGAGGCAAAGAAGAGAGATGGTTCCTGGGAGCAAGATGACAGTCTATCCTGCTCAAGTCTGACCACAGGTACTTACCAGAACACTGGTGCCCACTGCCAGTATAACCTGGCAGGCAGGCACAGCTGAAAGTGCTCCCCCCATGGTGAATGCACCGGGCCTGTCCAGCACAGGTGTGACTGCCATCCTCGCAAGGGTTGGGAGGTGGGACAATCACTGCAAAAAGAAAGACAGCCAAGAGATCAGGCCTGAGAGTCGGTGAGGCTTACTCCTCACAGCACCAGCAGCTGACCTGAGACGCTCGAGAATGCAGGTTCTAGGGGCCACTAAGGGCAGAATCTCAACTGAGCGAGAGTCCTCCTACACCATTCACAAGCATAGCAGAACTAGAGAGGTGCTGCTGTCCTTTTAAAACACTAGGCATGAAAATCAGTCATTCAAGCATAACAATCCAGAGTATGTGTGCACGAACACACACACACACACACACACACACACAGAGGAGTTTCTACTGTCTCCAGTGTTTTGTTATACCACTGGATTAAACCATGTAATTTCTCTATTTTATCTAGCTCCATCAACCAGATGAACTGAAGATGTCTAGAGTTCTTTTGGATCCATTCTTAAGTCTGAAGTGTGTTTTGGAACATCCTAGAAAGGGCATATTTACTATGGATGGGGCTTTTTGCCTCATGACATGGGAGTACATCATTTTTTTAAAAAGATAATCTATATTATATAGCCCAGTTTGGCCTCAAACTCAATCTTCCTGCCTTAGCCTCCCAAGTGCTGGGACTACAGGTATGTACTATTATGCTAGTCTGGGACAAGCTCCTTTGAATTTACAAATCTACCTCATTCTAAACTGAGGACTATATAGTCCTGTTTGGTACCAGGAACTGAACTGTGGAACTGTGGCACTTAGAGGGGGGGAGGGGGCGTGGGGAGGGGAGAATGACAGAAGGGGTGACAATGATCAAGATATGAGATGGTCTCTCACATACTGGATTGTTGCCAATCTTGTGTTATATCATGAGGCTAAGAATCCCAACTGAGGAGAGCTACCTCCAGTAACTCAACACCATAAATATTTAGTGGGAGGAAAACCATGATGTTAAACCAATTTATGGGGCCAAGCTGAAGAGAAACCTTGAGTTCTATCCATTTATAATGAGTTTTCACATGGCTGAGCTTCTGCACAGCACAAGTGGAAAGGACAATGAAGAAAAGAGCAGGATACATCACCATTTTGGCTGAAGACAAATGAGCTGGATACTCACAGGTGCAAGAGCGCTGGTCACCAGCGAGCTCATAGCCACTACGGCATTCACACCTGTAGCTTCCCAGCAAGTTGATACATACAGAATTGGGGCCACAGTGATGGAAGCCAGTTGCACATTCATTTACATCTAAGAAGAAATGAGAACAGGAAAGTGCTCAAGCACTCCAGAAGATGAAGGTCTCAAGACATAGTTTTCTCAGCATGGTAAGGCCTCAGTGGGACTAAAACAGGAGTTAAAACAGGATTTACTTTTCTTTATTGGCAGTATTGGGTTTTGAACCCAAAGCTTTGCTCTTGTTAGAAAGGTGTTCCACCACTGGAGTCATACCTCCAGCCCTTTTTGCTTTCATTATTTTTCACACAGGGTCTCACACTTTTTGTCAAGGCTGGCCTTGAACCATGATATTCCTGATCTTAGTCTTCTGATGGCTAGGATTACAGATGTGAGCCACAGTGCCCCACTTTTAACAGGATTTTTAAGCATCAGGTATGAATGCAAGTTTCAGATCATTAGCTGTAATAAAATTTATTTCAAGACTTTTGAGGGTCACAGGGAGGATTTTTCAATAATCAGTCTAAGAATTCTTTACATATTAAAAAGTAGGTATTTAGAAGAAAAACACTAGCCAGGTATCAGTAGCTCATACCTATAATCTTAGCTATTCATAAGGCTGAGACCTGAGGACTACAGTTCAAAGCCAATTCAGGCTGGAAGACCTGTGACTCTTATCTCCAATTAACCTCCATAAAGATGAAAGTGAAGCTGTGGTTCAAGTAGTAGAGTGTCCAGGCCCTGAGTTCAAATGCCAGTATCAGAAAAGAAAGAGACAGAGGGGAGGAAAGACAGACAAGACAGACAAGACAGACAGAGAATATATGGGACTGTGAAAACATAGAAGCTGTTGAATAATAAGGG